CCTACAAAACCTTACTATGGCCTAGCTGACTAACATTAAAAGCAATTATCGAACAAAGATCTCAGCAGATCCAGTTTCAGTTCAATGGAACATTGAATATCACAATCAGACCCAACACTACTATACACCACCTTAGCATAAACCATACAGCAATAAGACGCAATATCTTTACTATCAACTGGCACAATGCATGCATCGAGCATGTACCCAGAAAATTCATCCAACACATTAATAATGCATATCATATTGCTATGTGGCACACTCAAAATCGAATGAGCACTTGGAATACAATACGTGGAGAAATTAACTGGGAAACCTTTCACAACTTTATAAACTTTAATGACAAACCTACTTCCAGATATACACATCCCTCTCACTCAGACCTAAAGGCCTTCAAAATTAAATTCTTTCTTAATGAACTACCTATCCAAACAGTACTACACAAATGCAACCTCAAGAAATATAATAACCCAAACTGCCAAAGATGCAAAACCAACCCTGAAACCAATGAACATTGGACACAATGCCATATGAACAATACCAACATCAACTCTATTATTGAAGACACAATCACAAAAATCCTTACCAAACATCACCTCAATACACCACAAAATTTGGAAACCCTCACTACACTATTGATACCATCGAACACTCATGACAAACAGGAAAACATGATCACTAAGGGCATTATTACTCAACATCAAAGCAAGATGATTAACAAGACTATAAACAAAAAGATAAAGCATACAGCAGCCAAAATAATACTGCATAAAATTAGTAAAGCAATACACAAACAAATCTGGATCACCTGATGTCAAAGAACACCTAGAGACCAAAATAAACCAAACCAACAACCCTCAAACATCACCACATCTAGTAAACCAATCCAACCCAATACAGTAACCTTAGACAACAGTAATGTCAATAACTACATACCTATTAACTACAAAAGTCTGCAAGTTGAAAAAAGAATCAGCATCTGGACAGAGAACTTCAAAAATCATAATGCATCATCCAACTCCATAGCAACAATTCAGAACTAAGCGAGGCCTTTTGGCTCCTCTTGGCAAAGTTTGGGTCAGGGGTAAATTAGCCCTAGCTTTAGTTTTTCATAGATAAAATATATATGATGTTATACTATATAATGTACCTATATATAAATTCCAATAAAGAAAACTGAGGCAAGACCTCGCTTTTAAAAAAAAAAAAAAAAAAAAAAAAAAAAAAAAAAATTAATGACTTTGAGATTCTTGGTATTTCTACCAAAATCCATTTACAGCAACTTCAAACAATCTTTGGTTTGCTATTAACATTCTTTAGCATAGCCAACTACTTATAGATAGATCTAACAAACTTACACTTAAATTCAAAATGATACAACTTCTACAACACCTTGGCATATCAATTTTAGCCAACTCTAATGTCCTGTGGCCTAACACTTTTCATGATAGATATCAATTACTAGAACTAATACTCAGTCAACATCCCAAATACTATACTTTTAGAGAACAACTTTGAAAAAACAATATACTCTATTTAGAGCAATTAAGTACTGCAGACAATAGTACATTACTTAAATAGCATCATCTTTCACCAAGACTCTACAATCTAACAAAAGGAAGGCAACCTCTCTGGTTTACTTACCTGAAAAATACAATCTTATCTAACAGACTACATCACCTAATCCTTTCCTATTTTCAACCTCTAGGAGTTAATGCTTTTGTATATAATACTTCACAAATTAAGAAAAAACTTAAACCTTGGCTATTTACTTACAATAATAATAATAAAGAGATCATTATTGGCAAAATTCACAAATATTTTTCCAACACAAACCAGTTCTCTATCTTATATTGGAATACAAATATTGATTTAGGATATAATCACTATTACTCACTCTCAGATTTAAACTGCACACCATGTACCAGATGCCATCTTAACTCAAACAAAGTTAAGCAAACATACACAATTAACATTTTAGCAACTATCTGTTTAGCTTTTTAGGAAGAAAAACTCTTAAATTCAAATTCAATGCTAACTACTTAGATCTTATTTATTTAATAGCAATTAAACATCCTTTACAAATTCCTCATAACTATCCTACTATCAATATATCAAATTCAACTATTACAGAAATCTTTAAACCCAATAACTGTTCAAACAAACTCAAAGAAATTTTTCAAAACAAATTATCTTATAAGGAATTTACTTTTTATACAGATGGATTAGTAACTGATATTAGAACTGAACAAAGCTCAATAATCATTAGATGGGTTCAAATTGATAGTAACAACCAAGTTCTTCATAAATTTTTAGCTAAAATCTATCTTTGGCTATCAGCTTATAAGGCAAAGCTCTTTTATATCTTATTTGCTATCTCAACTATACTTTGTAATACAACATTTCAAATCTATACTAACTTATAATCAGTTATATCTAAATACTACAAACTCTCTATACAACTCAATAATCCTAACAAACTTTTTAAATTTAATACATGGCCTTTATGGCATACACTTCTTAATATTATCAAATTCTTTAATTTAAATAGCAACTTTTATAAAGTTCAAGCCCATACAGATAATATCTTTAATAATATAGCTGACTTCTTAGCAAAACAACATACTTTCTTTTTGTCTTTAAACTTTCAATATACAAACATTTACAACCCTTTTTATATTCTACAATAGAAACAAAATCCTGTTGAGCTTTCTACTGATACTTTATCAAAAATATTTGCAAAGCTCACATATTAGCAATGTGGTCTTTACAAAAAAGAACAATAAATAGTCTCATATTAACTACTACATAGACTGGCAATCAACATGGCTATATCTTAATTATAACCAAAAACTCTCATCCAACTTTACTAGTTTCAAACTCAATCAATTCAAAGCCTTTAAAATCAAGCTCTACTAAATGAACTACAAATATACTTTTCTTTTTACAACATTTATTTAACTATTTTTACAAATACTAACTGCTTCTGATTGAATTTTTCTAACTTTTACTCATACTGGCTAATTTGTCTTAATTCTTCTCTTATAACAAACATTATTAATTCATCAATTTAGCACATTTTATCTAAAGCAAATTTTGACTTATCTACTAGCCAACTTTATGAACTTATTCGAAAAGTTCAAAAACATCCTTCCTTTGACTAAATACCATTTCAAGCAAACTTTTTCTATCTGGATCTTACTCTTAAAGGCCTTATACCCAAAGCCTTAATTGAACCAATTCATAACTACAATATACTAACTAAGATAGCTTCACAAATTATTATTCAAACACTTCTTAATATTAATGATTAAATTTATAACTAAATATAGAAACTATATTGCATTAACCTCTCTAACTGAAAAAAGAATAACAATATTATATCTCTTTAAACTCATAATACTTACAATACTTTATAAAAGATACAACAAACTAGACATTACAAAAGATCACATACAAACTATACATACTTATGTCTATGTGAAATAGCAGATCAATTACACTTATATTCTAATACTTGTCTACCAATTGGACAGGCTATTAGAAAAATTAATACATAGTTGACACTTTGGATTAATCATAGCACATCTTATCATCATATTTTAACTTTACAAATCTAGATAGTCCTTGATCACCATAGTCAGTTTAGATCACAAATAATGTTGACTAAGCTTTAATTTTTGCATATAGTTTTTATTTTGTATTTTACAATCTTAGTATAACTTTAATATATAGTATATTAATATGTACAACTAAAATTACTAATAAAGATATGAGCAAGGCCTTACCTTAACACCAAAAAAAAATATTAATATTCATTATAATTGTCCTAATAAAATTATAAAGAATACTATAATTCTCAAAAATTTATTAATATATTCTAACTTTATGTTCTAAATAACTTTGTTCTAATCTAAAATTATATTAGAATAATATATTTTATTTTATATTTAATAAATTTTAAAGAAAAAATGCTTAATTTTAAATTTTTAATAAAATTTTTATTAAAAATTTAAAATTAGGTATTTTTTAAAAAATTTATAAAATATAAAATAAAATATACTATTCTAATATATTTTTATATATAGAACAAAGTTATTTAGAGCATTAAGTTAGGATAACTAATAAAATTTTAAAAATTATAGCATTTTTTACAATTTTATTGGTAAAATTATAAAAAATACAATTATTTTTTAAATATATTAATAAATTATTACTTAATGCTTTAAGTAATCTTGCTTTATATATAAAAATATACTAAAATATAATATTTTAATTTTACACTTGTTGAGAATATATAAATAATTTATTATATAATTTTAGTAATATAGTATATTTATATAGAAAATATAAATATAGTATTAAAAAAACTTTTTATAATTATAATTTATTTTCGAGTTTACTAAAGTACACTATAGGTGCTAAACACCATAGATGCTAAACACCATAGGCGATAAACACCATAGGCGATAAACACCATAGGTGATAAACACCATAGATGCTAAACACCATAGGTACTAAACACCATAGGTGCTAAACACTATAAATATTAAACTTGTATATTAATATAACATTATCGCATAAATTTATACAGCTCACATAAATATCAATTATTAATACTAATCTTAAAAGAAGTTCTGGCCCAAATTATACTAAAATTATTCTAATTCAAAGTACAACATATATATACCTGGATCGATTTCATGTTTATTAGTATCAATGTTTCATGCAAACATTATATAAATAAATATATATAATATTATACAGTAACACGCACACAACACATCCAAATGCAAGCAAACATTATATTGAATAGACAATACACACAACACTATAACATAAGTACGTATATATGTACATGCAAATATTATATCAGATACAAGCAATGTATATGATAAAAACATGCAAGCAAACACAATATGCAATAGTCATATAGGCATACATAATTTCAGCAAACTAACGATTGAACATACAATCACACCTATCATTATACTTACAAGCTACCTTTTAATGTCACATGTACGAGCATTATGACCTACTTGTCTACAAGTACCACAATGATGAGACTTATTGTTGGCAAGATCCTTATTAACTGCAATAAAGTTAACGATTAGTATTATTAGTCTACTATAATATATAGTTCAATATAAACCTAACCTACCTGAACTCATTAAATTTAAATCTTCTCCACCATTTTTACTTGCAATTGGTAACAATAATAGTGATCTAATTTCATTTTTATGATTATGGCCTTCTAGAACTAAATTGTTTATCTGTTTGCTTGAACTATCCAAATTACATGTATGAGCATTGTGGCCTATTTGACCACAGATGCCACAATGTCGAGACTTATTTTCATGATGACTACAGTTGACTGCAATGCATAATTATTAGTATTACAGTAATATTGTTTTGTTATTCTATTTGGATTATATACATCTTAACTTACCCACATCATTAAAACCTTCCTTATTCACATCATCCATCTGATTATTTGAAACATCTGAGTTACATGTACAAGAGTTAGGTCTTGCCTGACCACAAATACTGCAACAATTCTCTTGACGAGCCAAATTTTTATTGATTCCTAGGTTTTTACAAATTCGATTAATTATATTTAAATTTCTTTTAAAGAAATTAACTAATCACTTGGTACACATTATCTATTCTTGCTTCTTTTAAGACTTTCCATTTTCTACTCTTTGAATGTATACCAACTGGATTACTAATTGAAGCTGCAAACAGCTTAATATTATTATCTCCCATATTACAATTATCCTCTGTTACAAGTTCTATTTCCATTTCTTTCATTAGGTTAAGATGCATTTCATATAATTCTTCATACTGTCCCGTTGCAATTGCCAAATCAAGAGTCTTCTTTATAATGCTGAATTCTTTTTCCCACTGTTGCTTAAATGACATCTCCTTATGAACCTTACGAGTAAAAACATAACTACCTCGAATGCTGTCAAGATGCGTGAAATAACTTGAATACTGTGCATAAATGATCCAAATTTCTTATTATTTATTATTGAATTCGCTGGCTCATTATTAATCTTTGTCTTTTCCCCACAAATGACCTCATCCAAATACCATCTATGTGATATATTCCCAATATGAAACTTAGCAACTTTTGAAACCATCATTATTGCAAAGAAATGCCTGCAAACAACTTCACAGTTAATTAATGTTAAACAAGTGCAAAGATGAGTAGCTTTATCATAGAGTACTATGAAATGTTAACTTTTCATGTCAATTAATGAAACTTTTCAGATCTCATGAATACATGTATGATTCAAATCACTTATTAATTCTGCAAACTCAATTACAAACGCATCGAACAGATCATCAGAAAACATTCCAGCTGATATTTCATCATTATCTATAAAAAAAAAAAATTGTTAAGTTTAAATGCAAACGAATTCACTCTATTTATATATAGTTCTTGACAATAACCCTATTTTAACTATGAAGTTGCTAAAAAAAAAATAAAATAAAAAAAATCTTAAAGATTTTATAGGTGTTAATCAACTATTTTCTTATATTATTAAATGAGTATTTGCTACTATACTTAAGAATATAAAAAAAACATACCTGACTTTGAAGTCTATCTGTCAAATTGACTAATTGTGCCTGATAGTATATACTGAGATTTATTTCACGGCATTGAATTTTAAGTATTGCTGTTGTCAAAAATTTTTGACATGACTTTTCAACTAAATCGAAATATCTGTTGTAATAATCTTTATTATGAATTGCTGATTGTACACCTGCAACTTCATTAAAGCGCTGATACCGATCTTCTTTAAAAAGCAATCTTTCACCGGTATTACTCAATTCAAATAGAGAAGAAGAGCCATTAACATGTTTTTTGATAATTCCATTGTACAATTTAACTTGTTGCATAGTCTGTACACCAGCATTAAATGATCTATATGTGAAACAGAGCACCCATGCTTCTTTGCACAGATAGAACTGTCTCTCCAAGTACAGTGCAGAATCAGGATATTTTTGCAGCAAATCTGCTTAGCATTTCTCAAATGTCATCTCCACACGGCTATTTTGTACATGACAAAATTTTTTAAAAAAATCTTCCTATTTCTCACCTTTATACTTACCCAAAAAATGCTTTTCAAAATTTTTTCAGATATGAAAAAGACAGAAATGGTGTTTTGTATTTGGTAATGTTGTGTTTACAGCAGAAGCCATTGCACAATCAGCATCCGTAAATAACACTTTTGGAGCCAAGCCATTAGATGCTTCAAGTAAATTTTCAAAAATCCAAGAGAAAGTATTACTTGTCTCATCTGATATCATCACAGTTGCTACTAGACATGAACGATTGTGGTTGTTAATAATTATCAACATACAAAGCATCATCGAATATCTATTCGTTTTGAAAGTAGTGTCCATAATAACAACATTATGAAACCTGCTCCATAATTGAATCTGACTCAGCTGCATCCACATAAGACCAGCTAAATGGTTGTCTGCTCCTTCAAACTTTGCATTAACGTAGTAACCAGGTTCATCACATTGTTTTTTAATTAATTCAAGATAGGTGCTACCTGCATCACTTGCAACACAATTCTCAAAATGAATAGCTTGTATTATTTTGTAGACATTATGTGCATAAATATGTTTCTCAAGATACTTTTTTTGTAAAACCTCAATAATCGCACCAGCTTGCACACTACAGGATGAGAGTAATCTAACATCATCTTGCATTTCTTTTGTTAACTGATGGTACCTTGCTTCAACCATAGTAATATTTTGAACCATCTTATGATTATGTGTTCCAATAATGTTAAAAATATGAATTTGATTATCATTTTTCCACCAGTATATATTTATATGGTAGGGGCATCCTACTGATTTATGGCCTCGATCTCTTTCACTGAGAATATAAGCTTTTTTACATGGCACATAGGTTTGTCCTTTTGTACATGTATACACTCGACGCCAAGGCTCGTTATCAATCTTATCAATTTCACTATGGGTTATACAAAATGCAAAACTTCTTTCTTGACTATAATGTTCCAACAACCTAAAAATAGATAAACATTAAATCTTTACTGTGTTAAAAAAAAAAATGACAGCCTTTATTACAAGCATTTACTTATCAACAGCTTTCCAAGTTTTAAAAGACTGATTCACAGTTAACGAATATCTAGATTCAGGTTCCATTTCTTTATCTTTGTTCTCAAAATCCACTTCATGTTCCATTTCTTTATCTTCATCCTCAAAATCCACTTCATGTTCCATTTCTTTAGCTTTGTCCTCAACATCCACTTTATTGTCAAAATCGTCAAATGCATTGTCTGAAATTTGCTGGTCACCAAAGTTATTTAAAATATCCTCAGAAGCCATAATATTATTAAAGTAAGTGTCCATAAAACTGTCATAAATGTTGTCAGTATGAAGCAAAGGTAAATTATAATCATCGCTAGTATGAGACAAAAGTAAGTTATAAGCATCATTAGTCTGAAAAAAAGATGTGTTATTCATCTGTACTAAAAAAAAAAAAGTAAAACAATAGTTTTAATGATGTGTAACAATAAAGAAAGTAAAACAATTAAAATATCTAATAATAGAAAGTAAAACAACTAAAATAAAGTAAAATAATATTAAAAATAATTTTATAATAACACATTATGATGCATTGCACAATTGATCAGCATATTTTATAATTTTAATAAAATTAATAAAATATAATTAATAAAATATAATTTAGTAATTTTATATATAATAAAATATATACGTGATCATTGGTGTTGAGCACCTTAGGCGCATTTTATAATTTTTGTTTTGAAAACTTAAACCAAACTAAAATTATAAATAAAAGTATGCTAAATGTTAATTATTTAAATATATTATTTTAATAAAAAATTATATTTTTAATAACAATATTTAAATATGTTTTTATAATTTATAAAAAATTAAAAAAACTTTATTATGTTATATAAATTTTATATAGAATCTTATATAGGATTTTTAAAAAAATAATTTAATTAGAAAGTTTTTTATTTAATTTAATTATATATATTATAATAAAATAGATTATAAAAAAACTAATCTAAAAAACTAAATCATATTAGATTTAAAAAAAGTATTATAATGTTATGATTCAAAATAAGATTGTTGGTAATATGTACAAAATAGAATGTATATGCAGCATAATTAGTAAACATAGCATATATAACACATATAGTATAATTAGTAGATATAAAGTATTTAGCATAATTAGTAAATACAGATATATAGCATATATAGAAGATATAGCATATATAGCATATATAGAAGATATAGCACATATAGCATATATAGTGTATATAGCATATATAGTGTATATAGCATAAATAGTGTATTTAGCAGATAGGAAAAAAGTATATAAGTAATGCATTTAAAATATATAGAGAAGATAGAGAATATACAAAATAGTAAATAAAGAATACTCACCAGTAAGGCCTGCAAATTGCCTATTTTTGAGGCCCAGTCCAGCTCACAGTTAGGGTTAAAAATTTTTTTAGACCCAGCCTGGCCTGCATTTAGAGTTACTATTTTTTTGCCAGCATGACCTGGCCTGTATATGTTAAATTTTTTCTTTAGTCTAGCCTGGCCCAGCTCATAATTATAAAGTTTTGCAAATTTTTAGCCTGGCATAGCTTGCAATTATACAATTTTGCTTCAGACCCATCCCAGTCTACAAAAATTTGTGGGCCAGGCTGTGGGACCCAATGCAGGTCTTTATTTATCAAATATACTTGCTAAATCTAACACCTCTTTCAAGTGTAGTAATGTTCAACATTACATGAATAACCTATCAGCTACCCTATAAATAGGGAATTCTAGAATAGTTCTGACCTGTATTGTTACAATAAATACATTTTTTGTAAAAAAATAATATATATATAAAGTTTTTATATATATATACACTTTTGCTTTATTATAACACTTATTTAATAATAAGCAAAATTTTATAACTATACATTATTTAATTTGCTATATAACTTTATATTTTATAAAATTTTTAATATCACTCTGTTTCTAATAATTTTAAAGATTTAATTCTAGTTTTTATAATTATTTGATCAATAGTTTATAGTTTTTTGTTATAAATTTATTATAAAATTTATATTATTTAATGCCATATTTTTGTAGTAAAGACTTGAAATAGTATATTGTTTACTTGGACTATAATAATTATTTTAAGAATTTTATTAAAAAATTTAGTAATATATTTTATTATTATACTTTTACTAGTAATTATAATAATTATATAATTATATAATAATTTTTTTTATAATAAAACATAATTAATTTTACTTTATTATATTTTTGTATTTATACTACTTTTGTTTCTATAACTAATTTTTTTATAATATTAAAATTATTATCTTTATTATTCTAATGCAAATAAAAAAAACTATATAAAAGATTATTTAATGCTAATAAAAACAGAAATTTTTTAATTGTTCGATAAAAAACCTAATAAATTATACAATAATAAAATTATATATCTTTATAATTACTATTTGTTAAACTGTATTAATTATTATCTAAAATTATAATAATATATTGAAAATAAAATATTGTTATTTATTAATATGTCAAATCTCTAAATAATTAAAATTTTTAATAGAAATAATATAAATATATAGTATTAATATTTATATTATTTTTTAATAGTAATTATAGTTACCAAATAATAAAGTTATTTGATAATAATATAAGTATTATTAAAACATCTTGTCATTCTAATAATTTGATAAAAAAGCATAAACTATATCAAAAATGTTTTGAATCAATATAAAATATTTAATTATTAATACTAATATTAATTAAACTACACTATTTAAAATATTATAACTAATATAATTTAACTTTTGATAGTAGTATAGCTTTAATTAAAATATAAAAAAATTTGGTCTAAGTTAGGAACCTGCACAGATCTAAAAATTTGGACTTTTGCTAGCCTGCTCAGCCTGCAAAATAAAATTTACTATGTTTTTTAAAAGTTTAGTCTATATTTTATTATATTTATATCTTATCAGGCCTGTAATTTTGAAAGGTTTTTAAAATTTTAAAATTTTAGCCCAGTTCATGCAAGCCTCTAGTCTAAGTAACCAGAGTTGTAAAATATATAACAATAATAATGATTTTAAATAAATATTTTTTTCTACTTTATATCTTAGATTTAAAGCATTTATTTAGTATTAAATGTAGATATTTTCTTTTAGATTCTAAATTATTGATTTTAATTATAAAAGCTGTTTATAATTGTTATATAATTATAAAATATGATTTAAAATAATTATATAAATATTGATTTTAACAATAGATAATTATATATTTAATTAGTTTTGTAATTAATATATAATGAATCTATTTACTAATCATTAATATAAAAAATAAAATATGCAATAATTATGATGGCCAGACTTAATGTACAGAGCAGGCTATGGTACTTTTCACAGCTGTGAGAGCTGAGCATATGGTGAGTGAATCTACAGAAGAATTCACCACTTCCTTGAATTCCATTTCATCATCAAACATCAAGAAAGCATTACAAGAACCAATCCACAAGACATTATATGACCCAGACTCATGCTATAACCAATGGCTAGCATGTCTAAATTTACCCCTATTGCCACATTTACAAACACTCTATTCATTTTTAAAACATATCCACCAATACAACTTTACCTAATATAATCATTTCAACTATACACTAAGATTAGCAATCAAACTTGACTATAGTAAATGCTATATACATCCACCACATGTGTCTGAACCTCTACCTAATTACTTCTTTCCATATCTATCAGGTTATACCTACTATCTATCCATACCTATACTATCCAAATTCTCTTCAATAAACAATAATACATTAGATACTAACTCAATTATAAAGGACAATGAATTAGTTAACACTTATTCTCAATTATTAGAAACTATCTTAGATGGCTATGATGAAACTACTATAGCTAATTGACACTACAACAACATTCAATTCAATATCTGCTACAACAAATTTTTATTCTATAACCACATACTACTACTCTCTCATCCTCAAACTATCATTACTTTTTTACAACATATCGATAGCTTTGGATATTTACCTGATAATTTATATGACTACACATTAACAACCTTCATCAAAAATAATCATAGTGAAGCTTATGTCTATCTTCTATCTGAACCCAAACCCTTATCTAATTATTTCATCTTACCAGTCCAAGCCATTTGGCATTATCCAAATATCCAACTTAAATCAAATACATCAACACCAGTCTTT